AACCCCAATCTCCCAACTCACTACAAACCTCTCACACTCTCACCTGTACAGGCCGGGTAGGTAAAGTTCAGCACCCTGCTGCCAGTGTCAAACATAGAGCCAGGCCCACAGCTGTAGTAGACCGGCGCCCCCTGGGTCAGCTTTTGGTCCGTGGGGCACTGGGCGTCACAGCGGAGGTAGCCACCCACACTGGAGCATCGTGGGGAGGTGCCTGCCACACTGGTGGGCTGGTTGCACGCCGTGCCTGGAGGGGGAATTCAGGGAACAGATGACCGGTACTTACGTCATAATACAACAGATGACCAGTACTGTAAAGGTTACGTCATAATACAACAGATGACCAGTACTGTAAAGGTTACGTCATAATACAACAGATGACCGGTACTGTAAAGGTTACGTCATAATACAACAGATGACCGGTACTGTGAAGGTTACGTCATAATACAACAGATGACCGGTACTGTAAAGATTACGTCATAATACAACAGATGACCGGTACTGTAAAGATTACGTCATAATACAACAGATGACCGGTACTGTGAAGGCTACGTCATAATACAAAAGATTGCTGACCAGTACTGTATAGCTAACAGCATAACCCAACAGTTGATCAGTAGGCCTACTGCAAAGCTTATGGCACAAAATAACAGATGATCGCTACTGTAAACCTCATGTCAAAACGAAAAAGATTACCAAGAATTTGAAGCTCATATAATAACACAACAAATCCCTACCTCAGAATTACAAAGGTCTATCTGAAATTTTTAGCAATTTTGAGTTATTAAGACCATGAGGTTACAAATCACATTTTTTATCTGCTCTATCAAAATCATAAGGGATTCTGGAAAAATCAAAGAAAAATTGCATTTAAAAAAGCATGAGGTGTTGTGAAACTCAATTTTTTTAATGTCAAGTTTTTCAAAACTAGGTGCTGAGCAGACAGAATGTAGCAATTCTGAGGTAATAAAATGACCAATACTTTTTAAGCCCCTGTAATAACACAAAAGATGATCAGTTCTTTAAAGTTCATGTAAAAAAAAAGATAACCGGTACTGTAAAACTCCTGCCGTAAAACAGATAACTAACACTTTTAAACACATATCATAAAACATATTATGACAAGTACTGTAACGCTTTTGTCATTAAAAAAACAGGTGACCAGTACTGTAAAGCATCTGTCATAAAATAACAAATGACCAGAGCAGTAAAGCTTATTATCAGAGCAGTAAAGCTTATTATACATGACATAAAAGAACAGGTGACCAGTACTGTAAAGCTTATAATACATGACATAAAACAAGAGATGACCAGTGCGGTCAAGCGTTCAGTGCACTCACGTCTGTTGTAAACTTTGAAGGTGCAGACGTCGGCGTTCCCCTCCTGGTCCAGGCTGGCGTAGGCCACGCCCATTGTTCCCCAGCCCATCTCAGAGGCCCCGGACACAGTCGTGGTCCGCACAACCGTGCCGGGGGCGGAGCTAGCGCTGGGCGTGGTCCAGGTGGGCGTGGCCACGCGAGGAGAGACAAGCACTTGGTCGTCAGGGCAGGAGGTAAACTGGGGGTTGCTTGAAAC